ACTTATGGCAACACAAAAGGAAACATGGGAGCGGTGGACATGAGGAGGTGTCGGCGTTCTGGCGATTTACTAGGAAGGCTTCAGTAGAAGCTGCTGGGAAGACTCCTAGCAGCTTCTACTGAAGCCTCCCGAGTAAATCGCTAGAAACGCCGACACCTCCTCATCTCCACCGCTCCCATGTTTTCTTTTGTGTTGCCATAAGTTACTCTCTCTCCGTTTGTGCGCTGGGCTAATGCTTATAATGCTAATGCGAGGAAAATAAAATGGCGGCTTCACACATTTTTGGGGGAGTTTTACGGGGCGTGGTTTGCAATCCGCCCAGCCAATCAGAAATGGGAACCTTTTTCTCCCATGAATTTCCCTGCTCTCTAGCAGGGACTGAAAAGGTTCTCATGAACTAAGTTCTAGTTCTGGATTTTTTTGGGTGTGAACGCCCATTTTCGGAACTATATCGGAACTATAATGGGAAAAGTACTCCGGTGTGAAAGCGCCTATTTAGACCAGTGGTTCTCAAATGGGGGTACGCGGACCCCTAGGGGTAAGTTGGAGTACTGCAGGGGGTACGTGAGATTTATTTTATGTTAATGAAAAAAAAAAACATAAGTAATGCATTTAAACAAACTACTAATAGTAGATGAACTGCTTTATTCAAAGGTTTACAGTAATTCTGGATAATAAAATGAGAAAAATAAACGGGGTGCTCTCTTTTCCTCTCCCTCTCCCGACAGTCTTGTGCAGCTCGCTGAACCTGTAATAAGTGACCCGACAGTAAAGAATAAATATATCTATAACTAGTTTAGCTTGTTCTAGATAAACTAGCTAAGTGTGTTAGGTCTAACTCTTAGTGTATTTTGCTCCGCTCGACGGTCCGTCACAGCGGGGGAGCTGTGATCATGCAGAGCTGCGTGAGCAGCTGATCTGATCTCTGATCTCTCTCTCTCGCGTCCGGTTATACTTCTCTCGCGTTTATATCCAAATCTATCAGATCTAGCTAGTTCTAGTTAATGATATGACTGCCTGCTTATCAAAGGACCTAAACAATAAGCGTTGCTTGGCATATGTTTATATGAGGGGTCAAAATCTCATGCTCATACATTTGTTTCTCTTCCCCACGCCCCAAAATAAATAAATAAATATACCAATTTTAAGAAAATTAACGAAATTTGAGCAGTTTGGGTTTTATATTAACAGTTACACATATTTCAAAACGTGAAGTGTAATAACTGCAGTTGCCTCCCTGTCAGAATGACAAAGATCCTCAGTGAAGCACAAGCCCATGTTTCTCACATTTTATTAAAAAGTTCAATGCAATATATTAGGCCTACACTATCCTTGACTTGTAACATTGAGTAATATTGAGGAAACAGGAGTTAGTAGAACAATAGTTCTGAAATCAGCAGGTAACATAACATTAATACATTATGAATACAAATTATTGCAAAGAGCAACTTTAACATACATGTACACTATCATTCATAAAAAGATAGGTTACCCTTTTTATTGTGCACATTTAGAAAATATGCAAATGTATTCTTAAGTAGATCTTCCTTGAGTGTTAATGCTTTGATCTGAAATAACAATGCTTCCCCTTTTATTGCCTTTTAATTATTCGAGAATTTAAGGATCCTTGTGTGAAGAAGCTGTTTTTTCTTTGGCATCACCTCAAACAGACCACACTTAAACATATCCAACGCAACCAAATAAACACTTGAGTGGCTGCTGTCTGATTTGAATATGTCACCATGGTTGCAAACACTCACTTGTTTTAGATCAATAGGGGCTCAAGTGCCTGGGGATTGGCTGGCAAATCAACAACAAACCTCTACTGGCCACCAGGAGGAGGTCCTGGCCCGGGCCATAGAGCAGCCACATAACCCCAAACTCTAAGAAAGACGGATTACTCGCCTCTCAATTAACGCCAGTGGTCTCGAGATAGAGACAAAAGTAAAAGACAATGTATTTGTATATTAGGAAACAACAAAATAACACTGGACTAACCCCCTCACAGTCTTATGTTATCAATGGCACACTCCTCCCAACAAAATCAGGGTGAGGATCAACGCAGAGCAATAAGCACATTGTCCAACCAGGGGGAAAAACGCTGGAACATGCTGGTGTACGATGAACAGGAGTTTGGGGGGAACGGAGGGGGTTTAACCCAGGAATGTACTGTACACAACCTCTTAATCCAGATATGTAAGAAGATTGCATTCTAGTGTGTGGGGGGGGGCTCGGGCTGACCTGTAAGCTCCTCTGTTCCACAGTTACTGCTGCCTGAAGCCAGTGAAGCATGTACCGCTGTTTAGATGATTATGGCACTCTGGCTTGGACTGAGTCTTTCCTTAATCCATTCAAAACAGTGTTTTTGTAGAAGACACTGTAGCAAAAACACCCATATTATACACCGGCTTTTCGCTGAAGCAGCCAAACAAACTCATACAGAAAGTACAAAAGGGAAGTCAAATGTGATGTACTCAGACATCTGACCTTTGTCATGAATAAGGCTGGAGTTCGTAATCAATTGTATTATAATTCGGATCTTAGTCAGTAAAAAGAAAATGTAATTTAAATGTAGAAAAAGTCAGAATAAAATGACCAGAACAAGACATTAAATCAGTATACAGTCACATTCTAAATTAAGCTAAAAGGTAATTTTTTTAATGAGATCAAAGGCCACATGATTGTCAGACTACACATACTTATAATGATATGCATGCACTTATAACAAGGAAATAAAGTGCAAAGATGTAAACAGGCATTAATAAGGCATGTTTGTCTGAGCAGATGGTTAGCGCCACTGGGGTCAAATGAGCTCAACTATCTGGTTTCTCTTCACTGAGCAGACTGGATTTAGTCTGTGTAACCTCCATCAGTGGTAAACAATCACTGGCTGGTCCCCAACGGAGACTAAACAAAGAGAAACTGCAGGACACGTGCAACAGGCTTGGCCAATTCTATTATAATCTAAGTTTTAGTTAATTGTGTTTGAACATTTATTTTTATGTTCACATTTGTCCTTGTGTATGCAGGTTATGTGGAAGGTTGATTATTAAATCTGAGACACATGCTTAATAAACAATTTCCCTTTATCCATTTATTTTCATTCTTAAATGTTTTTGATTCTTTGTTTGAAAAACTGGTATGGAAATGCTCCACAACAACAAGTCAAACAAGTCAGGCATTGGCCCTCCCACTTCAAAACATAAGTTTGTTTTGCTCCCATTCAGGCAAGATAAAGCTGACCTGCCCAAGGTTCATGACAAACGGCAGGACAAAAGATACCATGCTTTCAAAGGAGTCAAACAAATTAAACCAGGGGGGGGGGGGCGCAAAACAGCAGCACCGTTTTAACACCGTAAGGTTACCCTCGCATTAAGTACTGGCTGTTCTATCTATTTATGACTAAAACCTTACAATCCTTTCCTGTCAGAATAATCAACAAGCTGTCAATCAACTAAACAAAGAGGTGATCAAACCAGCCAATGGTTTAGAGAGGCAACAGAGCATGACAGGAACACCGAGACATCCGTTACCTTTGGCATATCCATTTCATTAATGGACACTGGGAGTGCCTCTCTGCCAATCAAAAACAAGGGCACTGAAAGTCTGCTGGCCTTGGAAGTCTCTTCCGCCTACTAGAGTGAACGCTGATCAGCCTCCCAGTGTCTCTGCTTTATTCGTGAGCTATTTGTAGCCAGCTTTGAGGGAAATGTACAGAGACATGCACTGTATCCCCAAAAGGCAGAGCTCGGTTGGCACACTCCCTGCTGAGCTGAACTGAGCCAATCTGAGTGCAATTATAGGACTGTGTGTTAATGCTGTGGTAAAATTGGATTTGCTGTTTGAAATGATAGAGCTTTAAAACTAGAAGAAGGATCCAGACTGGTATAGAGTGCACCCGGCCTTTTCTCTCTCTCACTGCATCCCCTTTGTTTTTCACTGCTAGCATCGCTGTTCGATGACAGCTGCACAGTAACAATAACACAGAACTTCTGGAAAGTTAATTCAGAGGGCTGTTACAGGACTGTAGCGGGATTGCCATGCTAGTCAGTGTTTCTGATGTCACACTGTGTTCTGAAATCCACACTAAAGATTTCTCACCACCGCTACCCTCAGTTTTCCTTCTTTTTTTAAATAAAAAAATAACCCATTTAGTTCCTTTTTTTGACATATCAGCGCCTTTGTTCATCAAATTGAACACTGGTAACTCGTGTTGTCACAAGTTATTAATAAGTACATTTCCTCACCATTTTATCCCGCACATCCTCAAAAACTTGTGTACAAATGCCCTTCAAAACCTTAACTGGTGATAAAGCATAGCAGCAAAACAAACTCTACTGAAAGAAGATCAATAAACCGAGCAGCACAGAATGCAGAGGTTCAACATACATCACACCACACTTCAGCAGCCCCTCCACACCTTTCCACCGCTGCTAGATGATGGTGTCCTACCAATTCTAATCTCTCTTTCCCAGTAAATGACCTCTGGCAAGACGGCGGCTAGCGAGACTATTTCAGCGCTGACTGATTCACCGCTCATCCTTTGTCTCTTTGGCAGCCACGCCAAGCAATTAACGATAGCAGTGGCATATGACGGATACAAAACGCGCCCCCTGATGCTCAAAGACGCCCACACTGCCATGCTTCCACAAGTTCTCGGCAACCAGCAACAGCTGCGCCTCTCCTGAGAACAGCGGTGAGAGCAGAGAAATACTGGATGGCTCACAAATATTGTCTTTAATCTGCAGTGATATGCCGTATTATGACGAGGAATACAAGCTGTTGAACAACACAATAAAGTGCAACAAGTCAAGAAAGAGTAGGCAAAGCACACAAATGAGGGCACAAGTTAAAAGAAGTTGAAATAACACATCCAGAGAGGAAATCTGTTCAGTTGGTTTTCGTCCAAAAGGACATAGAGAACAAATCTTTGACAGACAACATTAATTCTATTTATCTTAAGAAGCTAGATTTGCTGCAAATCAGTTGGTCTCTAAGAAGGTAAAACGCCAATGTGGGCGAAAACAAGGAGAGGAACCACACATCCAAGCCCTGGGGGGAGGGAATTCGCTCCACTTTAGCGCTCTGCAGACTCCGATCCCCAAGGTGGATTCGGAAGTAATGGGAGGAATCAGAAACACGGTACACCACACCAGAAACAGAGCACAGCAGGCGGGGCCAAAAACACTGTTATACCCAGAAAGCAATATCAATATGACTTTACCGTCATCGTGCTAAGCCACATACGACCAACAGAGACAGCTTTGTAAGAGATACTGAAAGAAAATAGTTCCTCAGACCGTGGTTGCTGTCCTCAGAGGGTTGAGTGTTAGCATAGCTTGACCTGTCCGCTCATCCAAAACAGGACACCGCAGAGGGAGGGGGGGGGGGGAAATGACTAGCAGCTGTTTAAAAGGCTCTGAACACAGCCAGCATCAGTTATGTAACCGTGCATCGAGAGCCCAGAGCATCATCACTTGTATGCAAATCTCTGTGGATAACACAGCGTAGGGCGGTCATGTTACTTGCTCAAATAATCCCGTAGAAGAACGCCCACGTGTGCCCGATGCTATATCTGACATATAACGGTGTAAAACACTGCCTGCTTCAAGTTAAAGGGCTTAGAAAGCAATCACTCTGGAACAAAAAAAATTCCCAAACAGCTCGGGCAGGCAAAGATTCAGGGAGGGCTGAGAGACAG